CATAGCACGTTTGTTCCGCGTCTGTACCGCGTTGTTATCACGTGCATTAGCGTGTGTACCGCGTGTAAGCGTGGTAGGCCGCGGTACCGCCGCGCTTCACCCGCGATAAGGACGCGGAACAGTCGCCGGCGTCTGTTCCGCGGGCATACCACGGGTAAACCGCGGGTAAGCCAATTTTGCACATTTTCCACCACGGGCAACCGCGGGCAAAAAAAAATCGCGAAATTTTACCCGCGATACAGACGCGAAAGGCTGTGTGACCGGGCCTTTAAGGTATATAAGTTAGAGTGGTTGTTTGTATTGTCATGTAGATTGACCAGGCGCGTAGCCAGAGTTTGATGTTTGGGGGGGGGCACATACATGTAATCGATCGAGGTCAAAAAAAGGGGTCTACAAAATTTCAACCGATCCTGGAAATTTTAGGGGGGGCATGTGCCCCCCCCCCCCCCCCCGTGCCCCCCCCCCCCCCCCGTGCCCCCCCCCCCCCCCCCCCCGTGGCTACGCGCCTGAGATTGACCTATTAACCTACGTTTAGGCTTACATCCTCTTCTTTCAAAACGGTAAACTTCCAGAGTAGTTAGGCCCGGTCACACCGGCAGAACTTTGCTGGAGCGTTCCTGGAGCTGTGAAAAAAATTCATCACCGCTCGTAACCGTTCACCACCGTTTAACAGAAGTTGGCCCCCGTTAAGGCAACGCCGTATACGCTCGGCCACCGCTGATGGTCCCTCCTAGCTCCGAAAGTTTTGAGCTGCACAAAATATTGCGAGCGGTGAGGAGCGGGCAATTTTCCGCTCCGGCAAAGTTCACCACCGCTCCAACAACAGCGTACCCTACATCGATAAGGCATAGAAGCCTTAGATTATATGATGAAAAAAATGCCACACCAGTAGGGCAGATAAATATAAATAAGTAATCGGGGTCGAAATCGAACTGATAATACGACCCGTATAGTAATACGGAACTTGGAAGTAGCGTCAAGCAAGAATCCTGGCAAGAATATTGAACGGACGCGCGCGTACGCGTCCGTCTCCAGCTGTACGGGTATTTCGGGCCTTTTTTTTCTCGATCCGAACACTAACTTAGAGTAAAGTTTTTTTTTTTTTTTTTTTTTTTTTTTTTTTTTAAAGTTGAAATGATATATCACTTTTTCTCGATTTTTTTCTACGCAACTATATTATTTTTTTAATAGATGAGATGAATATATATCTAGATAATAATTCGAAGAACTTTAGCACATAATAGCTAATAATGAGCTGGAAATCTTTGTCAACATAATTATTAGGGATATATCTCGGCTTCTGTAGAAGCCCGTCGTCTCCAAAGTGTTAAAAAGTGAAAATGGGCACTAGAAGGGAATGGGACATTTCTCATACCTATAGAGAGGTACTCATCAGAGGTGGAAAGGTGCACCTCTTTAATGGTAAAATGCACTTAGTACAAATGAAAAAGGGCACTTGTCAAAGTAAAAGAGAGAACTTATCAGGTATGGCCCGGGGTACTTATCGGAGTTGAAAAGACGATATTTATAAGAAAGCGGAAGGGATACTTTTTACAAAAAGAAAAGGGGTACTTATCGAAGAGAAAGGGTTAGTTATTGGAAAAGAAGATGGGCGCGTGTTAAAGTAAAATATACACTTTTCAGAGGTAAAAAGGGGGCACATCTTACATCTGAAGAGGGGCACTTATAAGAAGGAAAAGGGACATTTATTAAAGAGAAATAGGGGCACTTGTCAAAGTAAAAGGGGCATATTTTAGATTAGAATATCAAAATAATAATGTAGACACTTATGACCTCGACAAAATAATGGCTATTATTTTTGTTTAAGTTCTCCCTTTACAGCGGCGCCAGTCATCCATCAACATACAACCTGCATACGGTCTTTCCTCCGACTTGGCCAGACAAAATGATCAATGCCTTTGCGTGCGACTTTGAGAATATATCCGACTTCACATACGGGTAGACCCGGGTGGGGTTTCAAACTTTTCCGCACTCGGATTTCATCAAATCAATCCATTATTTGATAGAATACTACAATGGGTCCTATTGTTATCTAGGTTGGTTATAGCCTAGCTTTACATTGTTCATTTTAAGCTTCCTAAGAAAAAGACAACTTTAATTTGTAGGTCATGGAATGTATTTTGTTTTTAATATTTTTTATATATTATTTTATTTATTTATGCAGTTTTTAATACATGATAGAAATCAAAATACATGTACATTGAAAGATAATTTATATGAAGAAAATACAGAACTGGTCCCTGTTTTTTATGAATTGTTATTGTAATATTTTTCAACTTCAGGTTGAGGTCATTGTTGAGAATTACTGAATTGGCTGATGAATGTTTGGTAAATTTTCCTGAACATTTTAGACAGTACTCTTATAATTTGAATTGCGGCCTCAAGATTTTCATGGTTCTGTACAATAACAAAATGTGTTGCCGCCTACTCTCAAAATTAAATTTCCCCATGTATCCCCAGCGTGATTTTAAAATTTTAACCCCCCCCCCCCCTCCTTCGAAAAAATCCTGCGTACGCGCCTGGTTAAGTCTGATATATTATTAGTGTAGATACAGACTCTGGGTGGTTTGAGGATCAAAACAATCCAGCATAATCTACATGTACATCTAGTATGTATAACATCTATTAAACCAGATATATACTTTAGTTTAACTGATGTCAATATTTGTTAAAATTGAGTTACCTCTGATTGTAATAAGGCAAAGCATAATAGAACCAACCGAGACTTTGCAGGCATTGTGTCAAATTTCAGTGGGAAGTTCCTCCAATCAAGGTTCCTTGGAAGGACCTCGAGTACCTACTCCTGGAGGAAATGGCTGCAGAACACCTTTTTTTTTTTGTCCCGAAAATTGAAAATTAAGCCGACCGATATTTTGTCCCGAAAATTAGAAAATTATGCGACCGATATTTCGTTCAGTGGGGGAGGTCAGTTTTTCACTCTTTTTATTTTATTTTTACATTTGACAAAAAGTGAGGGGGGGGGGTTAACCCCCAAACCCCCCCCCCCCCGTCTGCGTACGCGCCTGCTGACTTAAATGATTATAATACAAGAAATAGCCGATTCAACTTTAACTTACCAGAAAGAGTAGGTAGTATTGGAAATTCGTTTTATTACAATACCATAACACATTGGAATTCCCTTTCCAATGGTATAAAGGAAATAGAAAACTTTGCTCATTTTAAGAGGAAATTAAAGGAATACCTATTAGAGAGTCAGAGAAGAGAAGTGAATGACATGTTATATGATTGAAATTTGTATTCTTCTGCCGTTTCATACTTTTTCATTTTGTATATACTTATGTTTTTGTACGTTATAGAAATTCTACAAATTCATCATTATTTTCCTCTTCTTCCTCCTCTTTTTCTTCTTCTCCTTCTTCCCTTTCTTCTCGTACTTTTTTTCCTTCTTTTTGTTATCTGTCTGTGAATATTACTATTTTAACTTATTAATTTTGTACATTTCTGTTGTGGGACCCCACTGGAAATAAGCTCTCGAGCTTTCGTGGGCTATCCTGTCCAAGCTGACTTAATTTTGATCTGTTATTATTGTATATTGTTGTTTGTTGGAAGCTTGTCGAATAAAAAAATATTTAAAAAATTAAAAAAATGTACAAAAATAACACTTATCTTAATTTCAAAAAAAGAAAAGTGCTTTGCATACAATACCACTTCTTACCAGTGCATTTTGCAACTTTCACTTTTGATATTGCCTATTATTCTGATGTACTGCTCATTCCATCGCTACAATATCATAACAAATATGGTATCATTTAAAAAATGAATAAACACACTATTGATACTATGAAAAAGCGATGATCATGGAGTTTGCAAACTTTTATGAGGGGTATTTATCTTTCTGATGTCTCAATGCTATACAAGTTTTAACAAAGTATTATTTGAATAAACTTCCTTTAGCTTCTTTAATCATGTAGTTAAATTTAGCCAAATTGCTACCCCTAATATTCAACCATATGCTTACCTTAAAACAAGGGTTATACCACTAGAACATAATGCACACAAAAGATCCATTTACCTATTTTAATACAAGTTTTCAAGACAACATGTTGTTGAATGTGTAGTCTGGATATCCATGATGTGTGATTAGGGTTAAGGAAATAAAATATTGTGCATTATCTTGGCCCTCCCATTTGTAGGTCCAGATACATGTATTTTGTCCATTATAGCTGTGGATTTCAGTATGCCATTACAACAACAAAAATGGCTTCAGTTTTTCAAATATTTTGGGATCAGACCCCTAAGACTCTAGGGGCCTAAGTGCTCCTCTGCTCCTCCATAGTTTGCAAGCATATACTCTGATATAACACTTTACCACAAACCCACAATTCCTAAAGCCTTGAGCAGAGCCTAATCCTGTCAGTTTCTTGCTGAGTCATGCTTAAGTACAGAGCGTATTGTAGTCTCATTTTGCAGATACTTTTACACACAACAACTGAGAAATGTGTGTGCCTCACACATTGTGCCTCACACACACACACGCACGCACACATCAGGGCTCAAATTAATTGTATCCTTTTCCTCTCTGCTCCCTTCTCTCTTCTTTCCATCTTAAATGCTCCTCAATTGCATATTTATTGCTTCTCCCCTGTCACTGCATCTCTTGCTCTCTCTCTTTCTTTCATTCTTTCCCTTTCTGTTTTTAGTAGTCTATTCTGTTATCACTCCTCTTTCTCTTTTTTCCGCTTTCCTTACCTCACTTCCTCTCTCTCTCTCTCTCTCTCTCTCTCTCACACTTTCTCTTTCTTTCACGCTCCTCTCCCTGCTCTCCCGTGTCCCCTCTCTTCTCTCTCTATCTTTATTCTTCTATTCAACCTTTTCACTTCGTTTTATTTTTGCCTCTCTCACTTTTTCTTATCGAAGTGTTGTTTTTCGTATTATCCCTGTATGCCAACATTATTCTACTAATCATACACTACTGATTTTATAGCATATAACAAAATACCCAAAACAAACACGCTAGGTATGTTTTGCAAGTTCATGTGATTTTATTATCAGCATTATTCCCAATACTATTAGTTATTCCCCTTATACCATGGTTACAATGTCTTGTTGTCGGATCTTTTCTTTAGGAAAAAAAAGAGCAAAACAGAGAGAAGATTTTTAATTTGAAGCTTATGATGAAAAGATGTAGTATTATGCTAGATTTTAAGGTTGGTGTACAGTTAACCCTACATAAATTATATTTGAAAGATGTATAATGAATAAAAACATGGAAGAAACAGAAAATATGTGTTATTAATGAAAACCACTCACCATTATTTCATTTTAGAAGATTAACAAGGTTTAAAGGCTTAACAAATACAGAAGTGGTAAAGAAGATTCTAATTATAGAAAAGTTGCAAATACACGATGGAAGATGACAATTTCTTGCTTTTATTTCATTGTTTCTTGAGGAAGAATCGACTTCAAGCGTCCCGGATGTTGTGTCACGGTCCCTTCCTATGTGAGCAATAAAAGAAGACAATATCTTTGGTTAAAGATATAATGAGGAAATTGTGGAGAAAAGGGAGTCAGAGAAAGACGGGAGGGGAGAGAAAGAGAGAGAAAGAGAGAGAGTGGAGACAGCGGGGGAGGGGAGAAATGGGGACAGAGAAAGGGGGGAGAGAGGGTGAGAAAGTGAGACAGAGAAAGAATGGAAAAGGGAGAGGGAACGACAGAAAGGGAGAGGGGGCACGATGAGAAGAAGGAAGCATGTTTATAGACCTGTACATGTGTACTGTATTTCTGAGTAGAATATAATTTTATAAACGACTCCATATTTATCACTATTGATCACAGCATTACAGAATTATAGATTGTAATCAGCAACAATTCTAAAACTGATACTGCTGGAACATCTAAATTGAGAGAAGTGTCTTTTTCAATGTCGAGGTAAGAACGGAAATACGTTATGTATGAGCATGTCACAGTGTTGTATAGGCCTACAATATTATATTCTTAAACATTGCTTACCTAAGACTTGACAGGTAATTAAATTGTTAAAGCAAAATACGTGTAAAAGTAATATAAGTGTCGGATCTTTTACTCGCCTTCATTTATAGTTTTGATTTGCCCCCTTGCCATTACCCCCTCCCTTACATTAAAACAAAAATTGATTAAAATTGATTGAGTCTAATTTAAAATTTTGATGATTATTATAAGCAGCTCTGTATATGTAATTGTGAGTGGAAAATCATTGGTCGAACATCTGCACTACAATTATCTTGTTTCATGTTATTGTACAAAAATACATACCGAGTCTATCGGAAAAGGGCATGCGCACCAGCGCAGATCGATCTAAGATCCTCTTCGCTGATATCCTCTTCTTTCATCGCCGGGATCTCAGCCAAAATTTGAGCACCTATTAAGATGAACGTGAATTTGAAAATATGGTGAAATGAGGAGGGGAACTGGTGAGAACACTCGATGGAGATGCGAAGGTTGCGAGTTCAATACCCGACATGGCACTTATTATATGTCTCTAAACAAGGCATTTTATTTTCATTGTTTCTCCCCACCCAGGATTTAAATGGGTACTCGGTAGGATACGAGCTTTAATTTGGCTGGACTAGGCTGGGCTCGACACTAACAGACGCCGGGACACAATATGGGCGTCCATTATAAGACTGTGCCCCTGGATTAGCACATGTGTCCTTATAAAAATGTGCCTGTCAGGAATATTTGTAATACTATATAATATGTACTCCCCAGGGAGTGGAACATGTACGCTATCACGTGCGGAGTAATCCAGGGAACGGGATAATACTGTCGTAATCACAATGTAAAGCATGTAGAACATAATATTAAGCACTATGTATGTGCCTGACAATAAGTATCATTAACAACGAATTTTCCTGTCTCCTTTCAATGAGTCCAGTTATTCAAAATATTGGATATGTTAGATTATAATATTTATACACATCATCAAATTTGGTCCAAATTTGTGAATTATTTCTGGTAATAATAATCATGATGAAATAATGATAGTATTATCACTATTGATGATGACGATGATAATAATGCTAATAATGATTATCATTTACGAAATTTTAGTATTAATTATCATTATCACCATCATCATCATTATTATTATTATTATTATTATTATCATTATTATTATCATTATTTGTTTTCATTATTATATTTCTATGGCTACTTACGAGCTTCTTCTGGAGAGTAACCAACTCCCCTGCATAATTGCTGAACTTTGAGAATTTTACGATGGACTTTACGACTTGTCCTAGTTAACTTCCGGTCACCACCGCGATGGGCTATCCTGCGACGAACTACACGACCTCCAACTTTGGCGGCTCGCCTCTTCCATCCCTGCAAGGCTACCGCGTCATCAGGAGATGCATCATCCTCCGAGAGGGAGCCTTGCAAGGCCACAGCATCAGGAGATGCAACTTCCTCCGAGAGCATCAGATTCAGCACTGGTTGCCATAGAAACGAGATGGAATGAAAACAAAGAAAATACCCAGGGGGGAGCTTTCAAATATATATTTATGTACATACGCGCGACCAAAACAAGTTTTGGCTTGTTAAGGCGAGTGACGCATTTAGGGTGTCAAATTAATAGGCACAAAATGAGAGGGAAACAAGGAAATTTTGTTGAGTTTGTTAAAACGCATTTAGAGTACCCTTGCCTGGAAAACACATTATATTCTTACTGCCCCCCCCCCCCCCCGAGTAAATTAGGGTCGTACGATAATATTATCATGTGTTAACAAAATGTCTTAATTTCACAGCTTTTCTGACAATAGCTTAGGGATTTCCTGACAGACTTCTTAACCCTAATAAGGCCGGGGGGGGGGGGCAATATGCCCCCTGTCCTCTTCGAGAACACATTTGGATGGCGCCCCGCCGCTCGCGGACCTTTTTCTTTCGAGTCTTGCGCATCTTTTAAAAGATTTTTTTGAAAATCGGACCTACAGTAACAAGGTCACGTAACCTTTTGTCTTTGCATGTCAGCCCGAAAATCGCTCATTTTCGTGATTTGTGTACAAAGCGTATGGAAAATTAATGTCATTTTTCCTAAAACTAGATCAAACATTGGTTATTGGGTCTTGTTTAAAGTTTAGGTGGTTGTTTTGGTAGTCAAAATAGTTGAATTGTAGTTAGAAATGAAATAAAACAACAAAAACAATAACATACATAAGTTAAAAAACAATGAAATACTATGGAAATTATCAAAACAAGAGATAACACAAGGAATAAGCTGGCTCTTCTAAATTTTTTGTCGTATTATTAATCCAAATGGTCTAATGAATAGTGAAAAAGAATGCTTAAATATGAATAATATATGAATTATGAGTAAAAATGTGAAATTATCATAGTATTCTATACACTTCACTGGACATGCGTGCACATTTTCGAGGAGATCGGCCGTTTCACGGCCGAGATCTTAAGAGGGGGCCATAATGCCCCCCGGCCGTATAACACCTCAAATAGCCCAGCCTTTTTAGGGTTAAGGGGGCGGTCAAAACTTTTCAAGCATTGACGTCCCTGGCTGACTTATGTACTTACAGGTGTCCAATGCATCTTGCTCTTCAAAATCCTTGGCGCACACCATACTGGTTGCCACAATAGCACAGAGCACAAGAGCTACTTTGATCATCATCTTGACTAGTTTAGCTTGGGAAGCAGCCTGCAATATGTGAAAGGCTATTCTGTTTGGTTTAGCAAAAGAAGAACAAAGGAAACGAGAATTGGGAGTCATTCCTATCTTGCCGGTTCCGTATTTCTGTGCTGAATTCCTCGAAAATGTTCGTCCTTGTTATATTGCTAGAATATGGGAAGAACTGAATAGAATAGCATTATCTATTTTCAAACTCTGGAACACCGTCGGTTGGAATGTTTTCCCCCAAAATGTAAAACGCATAAGAAATCGCGTTTTAAATGGTGAAATGCAAATCTTGCATAAATTAAATTTATAATAAAAAAGAGCCGATCCCGTTAGTACTCTCGTTATATTGGAAATAATTGCCAATCTACAGATTTTTCAAACTAACATGAGTATCAAACTTAAGAAGGTTGTCATTTCAACAAATCAGTGTAATTATATTCATATCTCAACACGATTTTCTGAAGATTCGCTTTCACGTATTATCACATGATCTAAAGATATTTCCTTTTTATGTTGTATTTTCGATGATACAAATTTATTTAGGTCTATATTTAACGAATAAAATCAATCAATTTCACCACATGGTCGCTTTTCCTCCCTCGCTTGGATAACTCTTCGGATCAAATACATCAAAATTATTTTTCACTACATTGCTATATAGTTTCTGAATGATATGAATGAGAACCAAGCTTGTTAGTATTCTAAGCTCATACGTTTGAACAGGGGCGGCGCAAATTTATTATTTTCCCAGGGTGCCATACAAAAAGAAATTCCTACTTACGCCGCTGACTTTAGAGATAGCTAGATGGGTGATGCTATTACAGTATATACGACTGCAAAGACCTTCACAAAATCAAATTGAAAAGCTATTTCAATAGACTTGTCCAACACCTATTAAAATGTGCGAACATAACAACGATGTGTTACGTAATCCGGACTTGATTTGACTCATCCACATGACCACATCACCTATACATGATTGATATCTTCATGAACTGATACACGATGGTAGTCCAAAGACTAATAATATATAATAGGAAACATAACAAATCAAGCGTAAACATTATACATCAAAATTATGAATTAAAAGTAAATAAACCTATAAGGCAGATTGTAGAATATATTATGCATCGTATTGGTGAATAATAAAGAAACAAACATTGTGTCATTTGAACGAAGCAAGATTTAGAAATGGGTCCAAAAAAATATTATCGAAAAATCGGTTATAAAGTAAAGTTCTGTAATAATAGTCTGCAAGGTAGAAAACAGATGCTTACCAATCTGGTGAGAAGGTTCTGAAGGCAGCTTGTTGCGGGTGAGATCAGCTCCTGAATTGATGACTCGAACCGATTGGCTTCCCTTTTATGGAATTATTCCTCGCCACTTTCCTCATCTGCGCCTCTTTGAACATTCTTGCGTGCGTGTAATGATTGATAGGACCGATGAGGTTGGCCAGATGTTTTGATAACTGATAACTTTATTTTGATTTGAGAGACTTTGAATTCAATGAGCAAAAGAAAGAAAGATATATGGGCGGATCATTGGAAAGTAGAATTAATCAATCTATCTCTTGTTCAACTATACTTCTTTATTAGGCTATAGATACACACGAACTTAGAAGTCATCAAGAATGGTTACATGTCTTCCCCCCCCCCCCCAAAAAAAAATCATATTTCCGAAGGTGAATATTTGCGAAGATCAGTTAGTCCCCAAATTTATCAATCTAAAGGTGTTTTATCCAAATGAATGTTATTTAAAAGGTTTGTAATTCAAAAAATGAAATAGGGTTCATGATTCTGAAGGTTCATTATCCCGAAAACAAAAGAGAACCCTGTTTCTAATTTTCAAAATTATAAACCTAATTTTGGCAGATTTAACGAACCTTCGGAAATGTGATCTATAATAGTGTTTAGCGTTAAATTCTGTATCATATGCGAGGGAGCGTAGCGACCGGGGTAGTATGTTAAATAATTACAAAGAGAGATAGAGTGAGAGGCAGTGGTGAAAGGGAGAGAGGGGGGGGGGGGGGGGAGGGAAAGAGCGAGATAATAGAGAGGAGAAAGAAGAGAAAGAAGAGAGAAAGGGGAGTGACAAAATAGAGTTATTCTTGAGATTGGAATATATGAAATTGTAACCTATCATTCATTTTTCTGCTTATTTTTTTAGAAAGAAGGAAATCAAGGTGAATAACGGATTGGTTGAAACTTGAAGTACGAATTTAATTTAGACTGAATTTGTATACACCACTTTCATGACAAGACATGCAAAAGTCCTAGAATGCAATAATAGATTTCTTACAAGTCTTTATAGTCAAGACAATAACATTGGAAAATTAAAGGGGCGGCAAAGCGTATTTTTTTCAAAGTGAGGGGGGGGGGGGCACCATAAAAAGGGCACTATTTGGAAGAAAAAAGGCACCTACAAATGGTAACATCGAAGCAAAATATTTAAATATGCTAATGCGTAGTTAATACATAATCAGGGAAATTTTTAGCAACATACTATGCTGTTGTGTGTGATAGTCCAAATATTCCTTTGCGAGCGAGCGAAGAAAGCGACCAAAAACTGTACAGTTTTTGAGGTCACATAACGAACGATTACTTTTCATTATTAGACGGACTTATCCAGATGGGGTTTTAAGCACAATCCCATAATGAAATAATAAATAAGACCTTCAATGTGCTTCTTAATGAGATAAACTATAAATGTGAGCGAGCAAAGCGAGCGAGTTTTCGAGGAGATTTGAAGGAAAAGAATGCTCTCAGTCGCTTTGAATTTGGGGAAAATGTTAGGGAGGTTATAAGAAGTCTCTTGTTTCTGGGAAGATGAGGGATAATAACAACGTTTTTCATATAACACGTATCGTAATTATGTCTCAGTCTTTTTAACATGAATGACATTTGGTAATGGAAATGCATTTGAGTTGAGTTTGAAAAATCAAACGTGGTCCCAAACTTTATATTTTTGAACAAAGGTCAATTGATTACCTTGGCTTAGGCAAGGGACGTTTTATAGCTTTAAAAAAGGAGCACGGTTGTTTTTTCTAAAAGGGGCACACTTCATTCTTATGAAATGTGGGACATTGTGCCCCCTGCCCTTCTCCCGGCTCCACTACCTTTCTTGTAGTAGAAGAAAAAAGTTTCCAGTTATTACACAAAACTGCTCCAATTCTTTGAAAGTAGAAGGTTCATGAATTGACTCAGTAGGGTTCGAAACCAGGTCGATGCGCTAGTGCCCTTTGATAAGGCATTAGTCCTTACTACCAAGTCCCTCGGAGATGATGACTTAAAGCCATCGCCCTCTGGTCACGTTAAAAACCAACCAACCAACTAGATATGGGACTTTAGAAGATCGCAAAAGGGCACAATTTTTAAGCGGCAGTGGGAAATGTAGGTAAAACAAATGATAGGCACTCACATCAAAAGCCAATCACATCAAAAGTAACAAGGAAAACTAATCAGATGTGAAAAGTGGCATTTATGAGATGGGGAAAGGGGCAATTATTAAAAAGGGAAAATGGGCACTATCAGAAAGGAATAGGACATTTCTCATACCTAAAAGAGGCACTCATCAGAGGTGGAAAGGGGCAGTTCTTTGATGGTAAAATGCACTTATTACAAATGAAAAGGGGCACTTGTCAAAGTAAAGGAGAGAACTAAACAGATCTGGATCGGTACTTATAGGAGTTGAAAAGACGACATTATTTTATAAGAAAGGGGAAGGGACACTTTTTACAAAAAGAAAAGGGTACTTATCGAAGAGAAAGGGTCAGTTATTGGAAAAGAAGATGGGCGCGTGTTAAAGTAAAATATACACTTTTCAGAGGTTAAAAGGGGGCACATCTTACACCTGGAGAGGGGCACTTATAAGAAGGGAAAAGGGACATTGATTAAAAAGAAAAGGGGGCACTTGTCAAAGTAAAAGGGGCATCGGTTAGATTAAAATATCAAATTAATAATGTATACACTTATGACCTCGACAAAATAATGACTATTATTTTTGTTTAAGTTCTCCATTAATAGCGGCGCCAGTCATCCATCATCAAACAACCTGCATACGATCTTTCCTACGACTTGGCCTCACAAAATGATCAATGCCTATGCGTGCGAAAGACCTCCCGTCCGGGCCTCCCTTTACAGCGGCGCCAGCCATCCATCACCAAACAGCCCGCATACACTATGAACATGACTGACAAAGAAAGCGGACAAAATATACAGTTCCTCAGGTAGACAAAGGAACATCCCTTCACTGCTATTATGTAAACATTTGTAGAACAGGTGTCACATGCATATTCACCTTTTTACATAATAGCAGTGAAGGGATGTTCCTTTGTCTACCTGAGGAACTGTATATTTTGTCCGCTTTCTTTGTCTGTCATATTCATAGTGATACGATCTTTCCTCCGACTTGGCCGGACAAAACGATCAATGCCTATGCGTGCGACTTTGAGAATATATCCGGCTTCACAAACGGGTAGACCCGGGTGGGGTTTCAAACTTTTCCGCACTCGGATTTCATCAAAGCAATCCATTATTTAATACAAGACTACAATGGGTCCTTTTAATACTTATCTATGTTGGTTATAGCCTAGCTTTATATTGTTCATTGTAAGCTTCATAAGAAAAAGACAGCTTTAATTTGTAGGTCATGGAATGTATTGTTTTTAACAGTTTTTATACAGTGCGTCCCAGAAAAAACGAAACCGAGAAGTATCGATGTTTTATCATAACTTAATCAGTACCATAATTAATAAATGATACATATTTGGAAAGATTAGAGTCTCTTCTTTCAGTTAATGCTACTCAGATGATGCATATTTCACGCATGAGTGATTAAAAGCAATTTGAAGGAAGGAAACCAAAAAGACATTTGGCGGGCGGTATCTGAATTTCGAAGAAAAAAAATCACATTTCGAGAAAGTTGAGTTTCTGCCCTTTCATATGACACCTCAATCAGGAAAAATGAGGGAGGAATAACAAAGTTCTGTTTGTTTAAAGTAGCCCTTACATTTTCATAATTTTAACAAACAAATTCGTTTTCACTGGGTGCCTGCCGTATCAAAAAGCAGATTTGACAAAAGACTTAACTCCGTTTTGTTGACAATCAGCCATGCATGAAGACTCTCGTCTACGGCTGATTGTCAACGAAACGGAGTTAAGTCTTTTGTTAATTTCGTGTATTGATACGGCAGGCAGCCAGTGAAAACGAATTCGTTTAATAAAATTATGGAAATGCAAGCACTACTTTAAACAAACAGAACTTTGTCATTCCTCGCTCATTTTTCCTGATTGAGGTGTCGTATGAAAGGGCAGAAACTCAACTTTCTCGAAATGTGATTTTTTTCTTCAAAATTCAGATACCGCCCGCCCGCCCGCCCGCCAAATGTCTTTTTGGTTTCCTTCCTTCAAATTACTTTTAATCACGCATGCGTGAAGTATGCATCATCTGAGTAGCATCAGCTGAAAGAGGAGACTCTAAGCTTTCCAAATATGTATCATTCATTAATTATGGTTGTGATTAAGTTATGATAAAACATCGATACTTCTCGGTTTCGTTTTTTCTGGGACGCACTGTATATCATTTCATTTATTTATGCAGTTCTGAATACATAATAAAAATGAAAATACATTCAAAGATAATTTATATGAAGAAATATAAACTTATTTTAAACAGAACTAGGCTCTGTTATTTTTTTAATGAATTGTTATTGTAATATTATTCCAACTTCAGGTTGAGGCCATTGTTGAGAACACACAAGAGAGTTGGTTGGTGAATGTTGGGTAAATTTTCCTGAACATTTTAGACAGTAATCTTATAATATGAATTGCGGCCTCAAGACCTCTGATTGTAATAAGGCCAAGTATAACAAATTACGTATTTCTCGTCCACGCCCGCACCAATTTTTGGTGGCGCTTCAATATTTTCCAAAATTCCTTATTTGTTTTTTGTTTTAAATAGAAATCATAGTTATACTTGAAGTCAGCGTTACATCAGGGCATTTAAAAGAAACAAACTTGTAATTGTCGGGTATAGAAATGTGTGCTGGTAAAATGTAAGTGTGCAGCAGTAAGTAGTTTTTTTACACCTTGTTTTTTTAGAAAAAGAAAACAGCTGGGGGCTTATATTACAAATGCTTTGGTGCTACTTTATTTATCTAATTTATATGTATTTTTTGTTGTAAAAAAGAGGGAAACATCCTACATACAGTTCTATGAGCAGAAATTACAAAAACTAACAGATGCATTTTAAACTCGTTTTAATATGAAGAAAGTATTTTTAATTTAACTCAGATTTGCTTGATACTACATAATACAATTGTGGTTGACCAGTATACGGCTACATACCGC